TTATATATATTCACGTCAAAAGTCGGAATTAATCCTTCTTTAGACATTTCAATCATATGTTTATAATGTACGTGTCATAATCTTGTATGCCATAGAGACGTATCATTTTTGCTAGACCAAGCCATATAAATAGAATTGACAACTTTAGTAATATTAAGCATTCCATTATAAAAATATCCAAATCCAACAAATACATCACACTTAGATAATACATATTTATCCGACTCATACACTTGTTTGAATCCACACTTGTTTAAAACACTACCAGAGACTAAATATTTTCTAATTCCGGGTACATGAATTACATCATTAAGATTAAAAGTTTTCCCAGAACTAAATCCTAACATCACTTTTCCACGACCAAGGATAGGAGCGGTTGACTCGTTTCCCATATGAAGTACGGATCCTTGAACCGGCTCGTATGTCTGAACCATGCACAATCCTTACAAACATGTGTTGTTGCACCCGAGTCAATCCACCACGTTACCTCATCATCCTGCACATAAAATGCCTCAGCAATTTTTGATACATAATTCATTTTCGAATATGAATCAAAACTAGAAATCTGACCTTGATGAGAGAATGGGTCTTGATCTTTAGACCCTTTTCCGAAACGGTTATTCTTATCCTTTGCTGCCCGACAATCACGTTTGAAGTGACCCGGTTTGTTACAAATCCAGCAGGCGCTCTTAACCCTTTTGTTAGATCCATCGTTAGTGTTGTTATTAAAGGCACGTTTCTTCCCCTTGTTCTTCATCTTAGAACTCCCACGTTCTTCCATCATATTGATCGAAGAAGTTTCAGCCTCTTTATCTTTGGGTTTTCCTCCCTCTTGCATCCTTAGAGATTCCTCTATGCGCAAATGGCTACCAAGTTGTACAAGAGACAACTCTTCCTTTTTGTGTTTTAACATGCGCCTAAAATCTTTCCACGAAGGTGGTAACTTGTCGATGATGCTCGACACCGAGATGGATTCATCCATATGCATGTTGTGTTGAGCGAACTGTCATAGGATGCGAAGCAATTCATTGTATTGCTCCATAACCAGCCTTGAATCGGACATCTTGTAATTATTAAAATTACTCCCAAGGAACTTTTTACTAGAAGCATCCTCGGCTATGTATTTCGATTCCAACGCATCCCACAATTCCTTTGCGGATTCGACATTTTGGTAAACATCAAAGAGAGGATCAGACATACCGTTGAGAATGTGGCCACGACATATGTAGTCATCGTTCTCCCACTTAAGTTGCTACCTTGTCTCCTCCACGGACTCGTTCTCGGCATTCTCCGTATTCTCCGCATTCTCCGCTACGGTGGGCATTGGCATACTTAGAACATACACCACATTGAGAGTTGTGAGAAGAAAGTGCATCTTCTTTTGCCATCTTTGAAAATCGATTCCTTCAAACTTATCTAACTTGCCAAACTTTGATGTCATCTCACGCACCGAAACATTAGCCATAGTTCACGAAAGAATACTCTTTAAGAATGTTGTCTTCACGAACGCATCTTCGGGATCGTGATGAACAATGAACTTGGATAATGATTGAATCGTACTCGAAAGCACTTTCCTTAAAGAGTATTTCGACCCTTATCAATGTCTTGGGTTACACGAAATCCCTTGTAGGATAAGACAACCAAAGTTTTCTCTTGTTCTAGGCTAAGATACAAGAGAGACAAATAGAGTTTTTGTGTTTTGCTTTTATGTTTTGACCAAAGATTCAGAATCTTGGTCTTGTGAATCTCTCACGTCTTTCTTGTAAACTTTTTGATGCAAAGGAACAAGTTTTTATAATGGTTCAAAGGTTGCGACGAACGTTTGCAACCGTTCGTTTAAAAGTAACCATAAACTCAACAATTGCAATGGTTCATAAATAACCGCCGATTCACTTAAATTTCCAACACAAATGCCCTTTACCTATTAACGGTTTCCTCTTTAGCAAGTAACAACAGCTTTTGGTACGGGGGGTTATTCTTTGAATCGGAGCATCTAAGACTGCCTCCGGATACCGAAGAGATTATGAGCCAAAGGTTCGGAACTCTCACGGTTTATAAAAATAAAAAAGTAACAACAGCTTGTTCTCTACGGAAACGAAACACGGTTAGAGAAAAACAGAGCAAAATTCACAATCTGAATAGACCACAGCCAAGATATTTTTTTTAAAAAGAAAAAATTCATAAAATTCATAGATTAAATGTATTTCGACATTAATTAGCTTCACAAAATTGAAAGCATATCTTATTATATAAAAGAGGATGCGTGATGAAAATAGGCAAAATTATAATTGACCAGATTACGATAC